TGGAACAATCTCCCAGGGGAAGTGGTGGATTCCTCAACTTTGGTCAGTTTTAAGAGTCAGCTTGACAGGGTGCTGACTCATCTCATTTAAACTATACTTCTACCTTGAGAGGTTGGACTAGATGATCCTTGGGGTCCCTTCCAACCTGGTATTCTATGAACATGGTTTAGAAGTGGGCATGGTAGAGTTAGCTAATGGTTGGACTTGATGATCTTAAAGGTCTTTTCTAGCCATAATGAATCTATGATTCTAATCTAAATACTATTACCTTATTTATGTGTTTTGGCCAAAGCGGTATTTTAGAAATAGAAAGTCACCTTGGAAAACACATTTGGTAATTTTTCTTTATTCAGATTTTTATTTAAAGTTCTTAAAGTTCTCAAGAAAATGCAAATAGGATCGGTGTGCCTGGACCATTTTGTGTCTCCATTATGCTGATAAACAAACTCGTCTACATGAAATTGGGTCATACAGCCAGACATTTAAGTTACTGGAAGTAAATTTGCCTAAATACTTTCAAATAAGACTTTCACGTTGTATGGGACATTTAAATGTATTGTGGCATTTGGAGTGGATTACTGTTCTGGGATTTTAGTGGTTTCGGTTGGTGTTTTAAAATCTGATGGGAGCATCAGATTATTGTTTAGCAGTCTCTCATAAAGGCTAGTGGGAGGGAGAGAACATCAGTATTGTGAAATTCAGAACCATGCTCCTGTGAACTAAACAGTTTTGTGTCCAATAGCCCTGAGCTTAAAATTAAGCTCTAAACCTCCATTTCTTTCCAAGTAAAGGGGGTGGGGGGAAGCAGAAATACCTCTGTGTTATTTTCCTTAAAATGTACTCCATTTTTGTACTCTTCAGTTTAGCTGTCTATATTCTACCTAGACAGCTGTGTAATATGTATTTAATAGACCCTTCACTGTGAATGTTTTTGCGGCACACATAGTGATTGTGGGTTTTCTGCCTTATTCCCTGGTCTTTTTTCCTATTTCTTTTGACTTTTTTCCCCTCTAGTTTTCTAGCTCGGGAGTGATGAAGCAGCAGTAAATCTGGTGACCTTTCAGTGTTCTGTTGTCTTTTATCTAAGATATTGAACACGAAGGAAATGATACGTTATGTTGTGTTTAAAGAGAAGGGCAAAATGTGCTGATAACTTCTGTTTTTCAGGTACTTCAGGAAAAGATCGTTCTCTATATACGTAATCTGTATTAAAAATTATGTGCTCCTGTAAATAGTTGAGTTAAAGTGACTGCTTGAAATTGAAGATTTGAGGTAATCTGTTGTTGGAGCATTTGTCATTAACCTAAAAAATTATAATACTCCAAGCATTGTTGGCACTGTTTAGGAGAATAATATCAGTGTGAGATTGCGTTCTAGAAGGTAAAACAGCTGAGAAGCATTACAGTCAGATGGTGCATGCTGTTGAGGTCTCTACCAATTTTTACCTTGAATTCATAAACTACTCTTTATGAAGCCTGACTCCTGTGGGTAGGCCAAGGATGTCCTAATGTTTGTAGTTACTTTTGAAAGGGTTTTGGTTTTTTTAACATTATTTTCTGGCTTATAAAGGGATGACAACTTTCTTATAAATACAGTATTTTGAAAGCAGCTGGGGATAGCCTATAATGTCCAATTATCGCACATCAGGTTTATTAACAACTCAGCTTAATTGCTTAAAAGCATTTGCAAAAATGTCTTCTCTTTTCAAACTTTAAGTCTAAGTGAGGAGTTCTTATGTGGGCTTTGAAATACACCTGAACACAAAGCTGTATTTAGGTTTTACATAAGCTATTAATGCTTGCTTGTGATAGAAACTTTCCGGGATATATTGTTCTGGTGTCCTACACTGATTTAAATTTCTTTTGTTCTTCATTGATGTATAACACATGACAATACACTGAACTTCTGCTTTGAATATTTATAATAAAATATAATTATATGTAATTATTTTCTGAACATACAATGGACAGTGCATACAACTACAGTGCATTGCTATAGCTGGGAAGTAGTGGCAATTGAGGAGGAAGGAATAGGGAAATGGAATCAACCATTTATTTCTTGAAGTTGTTTTGAATCTCAAATTGCCAGTGAGTGGGGTTTTCTTCACCTAATTACATAATTAAAACTTCTCACATTTTGAATGTAAATAGACTTTTTTCCTTTCTGGAAATCACCGAGTTTTCATCAGTCTGATGCATGTGAACATGCATTATTAGACTTTGATAGTTTGCTTTAAATTTTGCATTCATAGATGAATTACTGACTTAATTTTCTAACAATTGAGTAGAGGTGTATAGTAGTGACCAGCAGAAGTGGTAAGGAAATACTTAATGGCATAATCATCTGGAAGTTTTGATTTTCACTACTGTTTTAATGATTTTATGCATGTTTTCACGTTACTCTCTGAGGCTTATGTCACAGAAACGTAGGCTGGAGTTTGATTTGAAATATCGACTGATGCAGAGTAACATGCATGTTGATATTTATGCGTGTAGTGGAATTCAAAGTGGTGTGCTCCCTTCCTTTGCTGGAGAAGTTTCTGTCTTGGCAGAACTTAATTTTTTCCTGACATGAGCACAAAACCCCACACTCCAGTCTGCTCACGGTGTTAACTGCAACGCCACCAGATAAAACGCGGGAGAGTTTTAATTGCTCTGTCAACAAGTAATACTTTTAAATTTTGTACTAGAAAGAGTTTGTCTAAGCTTCCTCGAGTGAATAACTTGTGCTATTTCTGGTCAGCACTTCATCAAAAAATTGATTGCGTTAGCATTAATGCATCAGCATTAAACTGCTTTACAAGGACTAAGCATAATTTAACATTTTAAAATCATCTTTTAGTTGCATTGGCACGTTACAAAGACTTTTAAAAATTCTAAACCTATTTTGTATTTCAGTTGTTTAAAGAATAACCTACGTTTTAGCATGTACTAGAAGACCAAGGGCACAAGTGTCATTAAGCTCTCATACATGTAAATATATTCAGTTTAAAATGTGCTGTGTATGAAATGGTGTCCTTAGAATAACTGTGCAAAAAAAATATATAGACTAGATACTTCAGAATCTTTTTTTGCTTTACTAGAATTCATTTCCACTAATACTATAGCCTCATTTGCTAGGAGTCATTGTTAGTAGTGAAAGAAATTGCTGTGTAACAAACTAAACTAATTATCAGTCGGCATGTTATTTTGGTGGGAGGCAGCTGCAGATTGTATGACATAGTATTCTGTAGTATTGATTTTTCCCTGTGTGTTTATGCCTGTGTAACAACTGTTAAGTCTTTTTCCTATTATTCTTGTTTAAAAAAAAAAGGACTTTGAAGTTACTTTAAGTATAGATGGTCTCTGATTTTTAAAGAGTGTGTTGTAAACATGTTAGAGAGCTGTACTGAAGTTAAAGCCTGATGAAGGAGTGACATGTTATTGTTTGCCCTGGCTTGATCTCTCGTGTGTCAGGTGGTGTGAATTTGTGGCTGTTAATATGTATGTCATATAGGACGGACAGTTTATTGCTTCAGCACATTCCCCGTGCTTTTCAGCTCCTCTGCAGTATGATGTTGCTAGTATAGCATGAGAAGTGTTATAGTGTAAATAGGAGTGACTGAGGAAATTTCTGCGTTTAAGATATGATTACAGTAAGAGAGGAGAATTATGAAAGCCATATGTAAGTCAATCTCTTCTGGATCTTGCATCCCCTTTTGTTTTTGGTGGTGTTCACGTGTTTGGTGTGCAAGGAGAAGCAGGAGCTATATTCAGAAAGACTTTAAATGATGTGTTAAAGGGTTCTGGACGTTCACCTGCAACAGCCCCTGGATATCTGTGGCCTGCATAGAGGTGAAGCTGCTGAAAAGCTGAGAGAGCTTGTCAAGTGCACCGTTTATAAGTACTTGATAACAATGTTTACGGCTCTGCAGCAGCACTCTTTTGGGTGGGTGGGGGGGAGGGAGGTGATGTCAAACCCTCTGCTTTAGCCTCATCTTCAGGAAAAGTCAGATTAATTTCAGGATTTGGCGAGGTAAATGTGGGTCCTTATTCCCACCCTGACTTCAGTGATATTCTTAGGAGCAAGCAGCAAACAGATCCCTCCTCTCTGGGGCTGACTTGATCTTCAGAGGCTGATACCAGATACAGGCAAGAGCTTGCTGTTTTATCTGCATTGTCCATCTCTACCTTAATGAGTGAAATGGTTAAGTATCCGAGGGGGCGAGCCTCAAGGAATGTGTCTTCCATTTGACTTGAATATTTCGGGGATGAAGGGAGAGGGAGGGAGAGGAGAGAGAAATTCACTTACATCACTCGAACTGCATTGAGTATGTGCATGTGTGCAGGTTAAGAGACAGACTACAGTGTCTTTGCTTTCTGCAGGAAGCAGCAATGCCGTTTGTATCCTAAGAGGAATTTTTTATTTAGAAAAGGAAGCATTCTTTCTACCCAGGAAATGGCTTTCCTTGTGCGTTGCTATGCCAACTGCCTGCAGCCATGGTCTTCCAAAGTAAGCACAATAACGTAATTATATTGGCGTATTGCATTCAGACTCATGATTCTCTGGGTTTTTGTGTGTGTGTAACTGTGTTGTATTTTTGTGGCTGACTCTTTGGGCTGTAGACATGCTTGTCTTGATTGTAAGGAACAGGCATCATAAAATTAAATGTCCATCAATGTCATGCTGTGAAGATTAATTGTGCAAACTTGGTTAGCTGAGTGGAAGAGAGATCACTGGTCACTACTCTGTCAGCACCATTAGCAGCCAGGGGAGGAGGTTCCTATTCGTGTGCTCTGCCCTGATTTTGAGGGAGTGGAGGGAGGGTAGTGGGGGGGGATGCTGCACCATGTCTGTGAGTGTGTGTGATTGCAAATGAAACAGGAGTATTAACAATGCTTGACTGAATGCTGGAGGCTGGTTCTTGCACCCTGACTAATATAATACTGTATTAAGCCTTTTTGAGGGAGTCTGTGCGGTCAGCCATTTTAGCTTTTTCCTCCTTTTTCTTTTCTTCCCATTCCTCGGGCTCAGGGAATGGTTTTGTTCCCTTGGATGGATGCTGGATATGTAGGGTTTCGTCAGGCTCTGTACATCCTGACATGCTTAGACTTTCAGTGTTACAAAAATGGAGACTAACGCTGTCGTTTGGATTGCTGCTCTGTACTACAAGTGCGAGGGGGTTTTTGAGCTTAGCAGTAGTGACACTTTCAGCTCCAGCTTGGTTTCCCCCCCTCCTCCTCTTTTTAATTTAATGCTGTAGAGAGTGATTTGCCATCCATAAGGAATTTGTACATGATGTGTAAATTCAGTTCAGCTTATGTTTCTTCATTATGAAACCACTTACGATCCCAGCTAACCATGGAGTTATGGGCCAGCAGGAGAAACATTCAGTAAGTACTGCAAATTCTGCTTGTTCTATCAATAACCTGTCATGGGCAAACTGCATGGAGATTCAAACTGCTTGTCATCCTGCTCACGGGCTTTCCTCCTTATCAATTTAATAACAGGTTTTGAGGGAAAGCTGTACCTGTGGTGGCATTAGTTGGTGGTTGTATTTAAGATTGCTTTTAGCTTAGAAAAGGCAACTCAAGGTTCTTTTTGAATGTTAAAAATTTACTGAAAAAATGCTGACAGACTTTAATTGGATCAGAAGCTATGAGCATTTAGTTAAAATTGTTATGCATTTGTTCAAACTTTAAAGAAATATTCAAGCTGCATAGAAGTGATATAATTGTAGGTGGTGGCAAGAATATATTAATTCTTTCTAGTGTGTGGTACTAGTGTGCTGTTGCCTTGTAGCATGGCGTTTAACATCTGTGATACACTTATGCTGAAAATGCAGAAACTGTTGGTAAAACACGGAATGAACAAAAGGCGTAAGTACTGATGCTTTCTAATTGATCCCATGAGTCAGCTACACGTTTGTCATGCTTTAATCCCACAGGCTGCCTGTGTTTATTGTTTGGGAAAAATGCATTCATAAGCAGAAGAACAAACATTATTTAACAAGGCCTCAGGTGTCAGGAATTAGAAATTTAGGTTTTACGCCATAAAAAGATTCTAGAAGTATGGGTTCTTACCACTCAGTTAACACATTTAAGTCTTTGTGCTAGATATTATATGATTCAGTATAATTTTCAATCTTAAAAGTTGTTTATTGAAAAGATGTTTATAGCATATATATATATATATGTTCTGTGCATATTGTGTGTGTCAGAATGTGCATAGGAATGTGTACAGTATGTTCAGCATATACAGTTAAGAATTTTAAATATTAGGAAGATGTGATAGCAGGAACTCTTCAAAGGAGGAACATTTTCTTCAAGAATTCAGTTTTAATTGTGTAGGAATACAGGAACTAATCTCGAAACATTTCAGAATATGTCTAGTGGATTTTTCTTTTGCATGTAGCAGACATACCACAGTTTCTTGTCGTAGACTGTTTTGTTCCTTTTCCCCCTTCTTAATTACATTCTAAGTGTAAAGGAGTTCATGTTACCAAATCATTTGGTGTTCATGAAATATTTAGAACTCAAACTAAAACAAAACAAAACAAAAATCTCCTTTCCTCCTGAAACTCAAGTTCTGAAGAAGCTGGAATAGAATAGGATACCTTGAATTTGCAAATATGAATAAAATGAGAAAGCTGCGTGTGTATTAGTTTTTCCTACTCTTTCTAGTCTTCAGAAATGTTGATGAAAAGTTCTAAATTGGTTCTGGTAACACAGCAAGTCTAACTGATATATAATAATTGCTTATAGCTAAAGGAAAAAAATGAACCTGGCATTTTAGAGACTCTGTTGCAAGCTCTGTCATATTTTGGTTGTATTACTTTGAGTTAATTAAGTCACAGAGATAAATTTCATTCCCTGGACCAAAATGTAGGAATATTAAAAGGTCAAGGTATTGCTTTCCAAGAAAATTAGTTTACCTTAAGAAATGTCCATATGTATTCAAGAGAAAGAAATCATACTTTGACATAGGGCTGGCATGCAATTACAGGTTTTGAGTGAACAAAAGACAGTTTAGCATTTATATGGAAATTTAAAATGAAACTGTCAGGACACAATGTAGCTTAGCGAAAAACATTGCTTTGGCAATAAAACTTTCCATTCTTGTTCTCCAGGTAGAGGTTATCTTGCTTGGAAAATGAGACTGAAAGATCTGAATTCTTGGTAGAGAGGGAAGGCAAGCTCAGAGTTTCAAGGTATACAGACTTTGTATTGCTTTGCCTAAAAGGAAAACTTATTTAATGACTCATTTTTGGCGATGAGTTATTTTCATATTAGTGGGTTCCCAGAATCCTGATATCTGGATATTTATTGATATCTGACTTGATCTTATTTCAAGAAGAGTCTTAATTACTTCTGTGACATCCCCACCCAGAGCTTGATTGGCTGGGACAATCTGGAATTGAATGCAAAACTCTCCTGTGCAAGGTTTCACAGAATTCTGTGAATTAATTTTCGTCAATGCTGTTAAGCCGTGATTTCACACTGGTTTAGTTAGGGAATGAGGGATATGGTTTAATTCAACTGTTCTGTGAAAATGGCATGCAAACTGACTGTTACGTTCATCATGGTGAAAATGGAGAGAGGTGAAAAATTGTGTTGGGTTTCCTAGATTATTTAATATTAGAAATAAAATCAGTCCCAGAAATGAGAAGGAAATGGGTGGTATTTTGAGAAAGAAACTTGAGAGATAATTGTTCAAATATGATCATTTTAATTGGATATTTAGTAGGAGTGCTGGTGGGCTTTTGTAAGAAATCTAGAACTATGTAAAATAAGCATAATTTTCTGTTACTGGAAGAGATCAACATTGTTTTATAACTTAAGCAATTAATGTAACCTGGGATAGTTGTGTGCTCTTACGCAGCACTATTAAGACATGGGAAGGAGAGGTGATGTGATCAGGTGGCTGTGCCTCTCTGGAAAAAGAAATAGCTGTATGAAAAAGAACTCCGTCTGGGTAGTAACCTATTAGCTACTGTAGCTGTGGATGGTTGTGATAATATTGTTCATCTTAGTTATCTTACACTAGGACTTGATACAGATTTTTTCTGTTGTCGTTAGGCATTTTTATTTTTGTCACTTAGTGAAACCAGATTTCTGATTTGGCCCTTCTGATTATTCCTTTCTATTTAATTTGCCTATTTTGAAAAAAAGTCCTCTCTGAAGACCAATAAAGGAGTTACGGATTCTTCATGTGATTAAGAATAGTGTTTCACCTCTTCAAAGATGCATTATGATACAATCTGTAATTTCATGACCATTTATCTTCCACAAGATTCATCTCAAGCTAGATCGCTCTGGTTTAATGAACAGCTGTTTGAAATTTTGGGCTATCTTCATTGCTCAAAAGGCCAGGTCGTGTTTATGGTATATTCTTAAAGTCCTACTCAGAAGATTAAAGCATTATTTTTTTTCTCTTCTGTGGCTTTTTAAGATGTTTGTAACTACAGTGTTCATGCAATTCATTAAAGTAGTGTGGAGGAGGCATTATCTTCATTTTTCACGTATCTCTGCTGAAACAAATCTTTGGCAAAAAGTAAGGACAGAATTTTGAAAACTGAGGATAGTTATTTCTCAACATAGCTAAGCCTAAGTAAGTGTTCAAAGTATGGATTTTGTTATTTGAATTTTCTGTGTATTGGCCCAGTTTAGACACCCACAGCCAAGTGATCATCTGAAAGGTTGCTTTTCAGTGGCTTGCCTGGCGTCCTACCAGAGTTCTGTGGTAGAGTCTGGCTAAATTCCTGTTCTCCAGGACAGTATTTAACTACAGATTTTCTCAAAAGCTTACAAATGGTAAAATTTGGGTCATTTAGTAGGAATGACAGTGAATGTATTAGTGATCTGTAGAGATGGCAGTGCATCCTTGGTGCATAGATGTCCTGCCATCTTCCTGTTACTGTTTCAAGACCTGGGGATCGAACAACGTATTTAAAAGAGAGAGAAGGGAAAAAAATAATAAGTTTTTACAGGTCAACATGGAGAGTTGGTGTAGAAAATCTCACAGTACGGCATTTTTTTAGCAAGTTTATGAAGCAGGAAAGGTTCAAGCCTTATGATGAGAATTGGAAAACATCATGTTACCAGTTCTAGTTTATGTTCCCAAGTGGCCAGATCTAGTGGTGGTGTTGGAGTGTTTGCAAAGTGATATTTATAATGGTGCACACTGAAATGTGTTATTTATAGTCACAATACAAATGTGAAACTGAACGGGAGAGTCAGCTTCTTCCAAAATGCTATTTTGAGACCAACAGACTAATACTCTTTATCATTACTGAGTTGTAGGCCCTTCTGCCTGATCTTCAGGCATGCTGAAAATCCAGCTAAAATTGAGTGGCTGATACCCAACTATTGAAAAAACAAACCCCAAGCAACCAAAAAGCGAAATGTCAAAAGAAACCAGAAATCTCAAATCCATTAAGAATGTGTTGATTTGCTCCTGATTCTGAGAGTTAATAATGACACAGGAGTAATAGAAACTCTAAAATAGTAGGAGATAATGGACTGCGTTGTGCCAAGTAGCATAGGTTAAAAATATCAGGGAATCAGCAATAATTCATGTAATGTAGCATGAAGTCCAGGCACAGTCAGCTAAGGAAATACTGTGTCTCGGTACCTCAAGTTGATTTTTCCACCTGCAAAATATTTACATTCCCTTGCAGAATACTAGCTCATGATTTTTAAAGAGTGGTACTCGAACCATTTTCAAGTGCATACACGTAACAGTTTAGCAAGTGGACCTGTAAAATTATTCCAGCAAGATGAAGTAAATTAGGTTTTTGGAAATTTCATTTTTACTTATGTAAGGCAGGGAATCTCAGACAGTGATACACGAAGAAATATTTGGCTTACAAGAGGATTAGAAACTGCTGTCAGTTGTGTTGTTTTTGCAGTTGCGATTGCTGCTGCTGCTCTTGGTCCTACTCCAGTATTCAGAAGCAAAGGGAAGTGTCTCATGTTCTGCATCTGCTGCTGAGATGACCTGAAGTTCATCTACAAAATACTTCTCTACTTGATAGCTTTACAGGTCATCTGCAGAATCAATGAGCATTAGAAACCATGATTTCTAATTTGTAAACTAAAATTGGATAAACACTTAAACTGTGTTCAGACCATCGGCTCTCTGAAATAATGAGTGATGTTGATGCTGGAAACTCTTAAGAATGGGGTTGTTTTTAAAGTGTATTTAAAGTCTGTTTTTCTTCAACTATTGTAGATGTTTTTTATTGGTGTGTTCTAGGCTTAAAATTGCTACAAATTAGTACTTAACAGCATCCTTGATGTTTGAAAAGGTAAACTAATTTTACTAACCCTTTCATGAATACACGGTGGTGTGATTTTTGTCTTGGCTTTCTGATTCTGATTTTCAGAATCTC